ACCAAAGTTTTACATAGAAATGTATAGGAAAATTCTTTAAAAATCTTCTTTTCAAGAATAACAAAGCCATAATTGATCATATTTATATGGAAGCATCCTCAGGTAGTGTAGATTCACTTTTGTTCAAATTATGACCCCCGGGGGTAGGGCGGGGCCACAATGGCCGACCAAAGTTTTACATAGAAATATGTAGGAAAATTCTTAAAAAATCTTCTTCTCAAGAGTTACAAAGCCATAATTCATCATATCTATATGGAAGCATCTTTAGGTAGTGTAGATTCACTTTTGTTCAAATTATGACCCCCGGGGGTAGGGCGGGGCCACAATGGCCGACCAAAATTTTACATAGAAATATGTAGGAAAAATCTTTAAAAATCTTCTTCTCAAGAATAACAAAGCCATAATTGATCATATTTATATGGAAGCATCATCAGGTAGATAAGATTCAAATTTGTACAAATCATGACCCTCGGGGGTAGGGCGGGGCCACAATTGCCGACCAAAGTTTTACATAGAAATATGTAGGAAAATTCTTTAAAAATCTTCTTCTCAAGAATAACAAAGCCATAATTGATCATATTTATATGGAAGCATCCTCAGGTAGTGTAGATTCAAGTTTGTTCAAATCATGACTCCCGGGGGTAGGGCGGGTCCAAAATGGCCGACCACAGTTTTACATAGAAATATATAGGAAAAATCTTTAAAAATCTTCTTCTCAAGAGTAACAAAGCCATAATTGATCAAATTTGTATGGAAGCATCTTCAGGTAGTGAAGATTCAAATTTGTTCAAATCATGACCCTCGGGGGTAGGGCGGGGCCACAATGGCCGACCAAAGTTTTACATAGAAATATATAGGAAAAATCTTTAAAAAATCTTCTTCTCAAGAGTAACAAAGCCATAATTGATCAAATTTGTATGGAAGCATCTTCAGGTAGTGAAGATTCAAGTTTGTTCAAATCATGACCCCTGGTGGTAGGGCGGGGCTACAATGGCCAATCAAAGTTTTACATAGGCATATATAGGAAAATTCTTTAAAAATCATCTTATCAAGAATAGCAAAGCCATGATTGGTCATTGGACTACTTTTGGATTTAAAGTATTAATCTACTTTTTCTTAGCCACAGTGCTCAGGTGAGCGATGTGGCCCATGGGCCTCTTGTTGGTTAATTGTGTGACTTTGCCTTACTTAAAGACAACATTCGTTGAGGTGAGCTCTGTAATCTCTGATTACCTATGTTTTTAGAAGTGTGAATGCACTGGTCAATTCAAAGGAATCAAAGTATTAAATCATCCATCTATTTTAATGACTGAATACACTGTTTATAGCTAAAAAATACATGGTATTTAGTGAAGTGTTGTTTATTATCTTGCGAGTCCTTTGGAGTCATACAACCTACAAAAAAGTACATGACAGTGAGTGTATAAGTATAAGAATTATATTAGGCTTATAAAAGGCAAGCCTTAAAATGTGGTGAACCAGCCCTTAAAGTCAGCAAAAATGGGGCATAAATATTAAGTCCATGGTTTTAGTTAAGAATTAATGCTTTAGATTTGACACATATGACAGTTGATGCAAAAATATTTCTTGCATCCATTAATAATGACCAGTGCATTAATTTAATTATTATATCATCTTGTCACTTTACTGCATGCATGAACTGGATTTTATGTATCTTTAGCAGCTTTATTTATATTAATTAATTTATTTTCATAATGAAAATAAATGCAGTCTATTTCGGAAAAAAAAATTGTTATAGGAAACATGTGCTAGAGAAAAATTGGTCTTGTTTAAAGGATTTTAAAAAAACGATTTGACAGGTCAAATAAGATATTGTCAGTTTTAATCAAATATGTTGCTTAATTGTCCCCCGCTTGAAAAGTGGGGGATACTAATTTGGGTTTGTCTGTCCGTCCGTCCGTCTTTCTGTCTGTCTGTAACGCTTTCATTTCCACACGATATCTCGAGAACCCTTTAAGCTTTTGCAATGAAATTTAGCATAGCAACTCCCTATGGACTAAAGAAGACCCCTATTGATTTTGAGGTCAAAAGGTCAAAGGTCAAGGTCATAAATAAGCAAATTCTGTCTGTTATAACACTTTCGTTTCCACACGATATCTCTAGAACCATTTGAGCTATTGCAATGAACTCCCTGTGGCCTAATGAAGACCCCTAATGATTTTGAGGTCAAAAGGTCAAAGTTCAAGGTCGTAAATTTATACATTCTGTCTGTGTGTAACACTATCATTTCCGGGTGATATTTCAAGAAGATTTTGAGCTAATGCAATGTAATTTTATACCAAAACTCCCTAAGACCTCTCTCACCCCTCTCAAAGTGCCCCGCCACGTTTTTTTTATTAGTATTTATAGTATTACATGTCGCTACTTTTAGCACAGGGGCATGAGGAGAGTTATTGCATATAAAACAGGTTCTCGGCGGACTTTGTGTTCTTATTACATCTATTAAAACTGTTTAATAAAGGCTAAATAAATCAAACACCATGGATTGTGTAAAATTTTGAGAATACCAAACATGAATATATACTTGTATGTGACTTTAGTTCTGCATATACTTGACTCAACGTAAAGCGATTTCGTGGTCTATTGGTATGTCTCTCGCTTCACATGTGAGAGGTCCTGGGATCGAATCTCGGTCAATCCTTTTTATACCCCCCGCAAACGAAGTTTGGGGGGGGTATATAGGAATCACCTTGTCCGTCTGTCCGTCTGTCTGTCTGTCCGTCTGTCCAGCTGTCCGTCCGTCCGTCCGTCCGTCTGTCTGTGCATTCGTGTCCGGTCCATATCTTTCTTACAGAGGGACATTAGAATCTACTACTCCACAATAAGATTGCTCATGACCTAAGGGTGTGTCATGACCTTGACCCAAGGTCATTTGGGAAAGTTCAAGGTCACTGGAAGAAAAATTTCATAATTCGTGTCCGGTCCATATCTTTCATATGGATAAACTTGGTAGGTTCTCATTTCACACAAAGATTGCCCATGACCCAAGGGTGTGTCATGACCTTGAACCAAGGTCATTTGGGAAAGTTCAAGGTCACTGGAAGAAAATTTTCATAAATCATGTTTGATACATATCTTTTATAGATAAACTTGGTAGGTTCTCATTTCACACAAAGATTGCCTATAACCCAAGGGTGTGTCATGACCTTCACCCAAGGTCATTTGGGAATGTTCAAGGTCACTGGAAGAAAATTTTTATATTCCCTGTCCGGTCCATATTTTTTTTATGGATAAACTTGGTAGGTTCTCATTTCACACAAAGATTGCCCATGACCCAAGGGTGTGTCATGACCTTGACCCAAGGTCATTCGGGGAAGTTCAAGGTCACTGGTAGAAAAATTTCATAATTTGTGTTCAGTCCATATCTTTCTCATGCATAAACTTGGTAGGTTCTCATTTCACACAAAGATTGCCCATGACCCAAGGGTGTGTCATGACCTTGACCAAAGGTCATTTGGGGAAGTTCAAGGTCACTGGTAGAAAAATTTCATAATTCGTGGCTGGTCCATATCTTTCTTATGCATAAACTTGGTAGGTTCTCATTTCACACAAAGATTGCCCATGACCCAAGGGTGTGTCATGACCTTGACCCAAGGTCATTTGGGGAAGTTCAAGGTCACTGGAAGAAAAATTTCATAATTTGTGTCCAGTCCATATCTTTCTTATGGATAAACTTGGTAGGTTCTCATTTCACTGAAAGATTGCCCATGACCCAAGGGTGTGTCATGACCTTGACCCAAGGTTATTTGGGGAAGTTCAAGGTCACTGGAATAAAAATTTCATAATTTGTTTTTGATACATTTCTTTATTATTGAAAAACTTACTTCTGAAAAACCCAGCGGGGGGTATTTTGTCCCGTTTGGACAGTTCTAGTTTTTTTTTTAAAATACTTTTCTTTTTTTTTTTTTACTAAATGATAAGTTACAGATTTACCCCTTACCCCAAAACAACCCATAAGATTGGATCACCCCAATTTATGCCCTGAATACTAAATGTATATGTCGTCCTTTTATTTGTAGATATCATGGAAATATCACCAATTATCGTATATTATTAATGTATGCTTTATAATTCATTGTATATGTTTATTAGACAAATATTGTTTGGTTGTATAGTACAAACCCGAATTTCCTCCATTGATCAGCCATATCGTAATAACAAATGGCCACCTGGCATTGTTATTCGACTCATGTAACTCAAAATACACTTGGCATCATCTCCAAAGTAATTCCCAACCAATAATTCATCCTTTTCCAGCGTTTGTAATACTTTTTAGATCCTTGTTTACTTGGTGCAAAGTTGTTGACAAATGTCGCGCGAATAATGGCGGCACCGCACGTTATTCGCGCGTGGAGTATTTCGCACCTATCAACCAAAAAGTATATAATAAACGATCCGAGAGACAAACGCCAGTAGTGCTTGCGCTGCTCAACCAGGCATGGTGCCTTCAGTGCCCATCAGACTGGTACTCTACCCATAGGTACATTTTGTACCATTACTTTGGGTAGGCCTGATGCCTCTTCATACCCAGTGTTTTGGGTCCCCATGCTTTTCCTGGGTAAACTCACCATTTTATGGGTAAACACCCATTTTGTGAGAAAAACACCCATTTTCCGCAGTTTTTGCCACTTTCTGTTGATTTTGGCCATATATTAGTAAATTCCTGACTTTTTAGGTGTTTTAACTGATTTTCTTGATTTTTAATAAATTTATAGAAAATTGACCATCTTTTCTTATTATTGGGTAAATTTCAGAAATAAGAGACCCACATATAATTTCTGTAACGGGGTAAACCATAGAGTGGTAAAAGAATACAAAGTATTCAAAAACCACAACTATACCCAGAAACGTTACAACTGGTGTCAGAAGTGGGATTTCTCTTATCTTATTTTTGTTTACCCATAATGAAGAAATAGATAAAAATCATTTCTTTTTACTTAGGTAAAATTTTATTGACTCAATACATTTTTTTTTGAACATTTTTGTACAAGATGGAATTAGAAGAAAGTCTTGAAGTAACTTTTAAGTCCCGTTCATCTTCACCCAACAACTTGGAGAATGATAGGGTGGCCACACCCGTTTCCAATCCTCCTTCTCCATCAAAGGCATCAGATATTGCCCAACCTGTGAATGAAAAGCAATTAGATGCTATCATGTCTATCATGCAAAATGTAAACCAACAATTGTTGGGAATGACAAATGAGTACCAAAGGTTGAGAGAGCATGTTGATAATTTGGAAAAAGAAATTAAGAGCCCTATTCCAGATAGGGGAGACAACCATCACTTTCCAAATTTTATACCCAGACCCATTCACCCAGTGAATTCTTATGACAATTTTCCTCCCCGCAGTCATTCAAACCCCGTTAATGGGCAAAGGGAATATAACCCCGGTACAATGTCGGGTACCCATTATTCCCCATTACCTGAAATAAACAGGAATGAAAACAGAATGCCTTACCCATGTACACCCAAAACCCATGTAACAATAAAACCCCAAGCATTTGATGGCTCAGAGGACTTTGACGAGTACCTCGCCCAATTTGAAATTTTAGTTGACTTGCATGGGTGGGATTATAAAACAAAATCTCTGTACCTTGCCAATAGCCTTACAGGTGGTGCCCGTGCCCTACTGAGCGAATTAAATGAAAATCAGAGAAGAGATTTTAACTCCCTTGTAAAAACCCTAAACAGGAGATATGGCTCCATTGAGAGATCTGAAATGTACCGTGCCCAACTCAAGACCAAAACTAGGGGTACAAATGAATCCTTACCTGAATTGGCCCAATCTATTAAAAAATTGACCCGTCAAGCATACCCAACAGCTGACCCAACCATTATAAGCATTCTGGCACTTGATCAATTTATTGATGCCCTACCAGAACCAGATATGCGACTAAGGTTGAGGGAAGCTAAACCAAAAGACATAAATGAAGCAGAAATTTTGGCCATTCGATTAGAAACTTATAGATTGGCAGATGCCCAGAGAAATAAAACTGTCAATGTCATTCGTGACACTGACCCTATTTCATCATTAAAGCAAGATAATCAAAACTTGCGGGATGACATACAATCCCTTACCCAAGAAATCAGAGCCCTTATAAGAAATGGTCCAAGGCCGACCCATAATTTTGGGCAAACCCCCTACGAAAATTATTACAATATGGGCTCTTATGAAAACCCAGTCAGACCTGAATACGAAGGGCATGAACCCACAAATTATGAACCAAGACCCCAGGGTCCATCCTACCAAGGAAATTCAAACAATGGGAACAATTACCCCAAAAACTCAAAACAAAATCCTTTCGAACCTCAAGGACAGGGAAACTACCCAGAGTCGAATTCGGGGGTCGGAAGTCGACAGGTTCAAGGGGCAGGCCCCAACACTTGCCATTAAATATGGCTCAACCACTCTCACTAAAACCCAAACCCAATATTGAAAATAAAACAGATGAGAAATCTGATAAAGGAATCTCTGGTTGTAATACACCTACCCCCAAAGAAATTTTAGTGAGAGATATAAACGGGGGAGATGATGTAATTTATGTAATTGGAAAAATTGGAAATAAAGAGACAAATATACTAGTAGATACGGGTGCTAGTATGACTATTGTCAGTACCCAATTCTTTGAAAATATAGATGCTGAGGAAAAGCCCCAAATTACCCCAGTATCTATCAAACTTACATCTGCAAGTGGTGATGCAATCCCAGTTAAGGGAGAATGCTTAATCAAAATATCACTTGAAAATGTTCAAGTTACCCATAAAGTACTTGTGGCTGATATACAAAACCCATGCATATTGGGATTAGATTTTATGACCAAGAATTCATGTGAACTTTTTGTAAAACAGATGAAACTAAAGGTACAGGGTCTAGACATTCCCTGCTTTAGTACATCTTGTGTAAAAGTTGTGTCTTGTGGCAAGATAAGTCTTGCCAAGGATATTGGAAATCCTCCCCATTGTGAATATATTGCTTCTGAGAAGGTAGATAAACCTTTGAATAAGGATGAGGTTGAAATAATAGAACCTATCCCAAGTTTTGTTGAGAAAAATGAATTGATGATTCCCCAAACCCCTGAAACTGTAGACAGAGAAGTCACAGTTTGTCACATGAATTTCAAAGATGAAAGTAGCAATTTTTATGAAAATACCAAAAATGCCACAGTCAAATGTGTTGACAAAGTACTAGATAAATGGGAAGACCTAAACAATACCCGAACTCTTGATGCTCCTAGCCCAGAGCTCAAACCCCAATTTCTAGACCACTTGCCATGTTCTAATATTGAGAAACTACCCAAAGAAATTGCAAATGAATCAAAACAAAAGTTTCATTTGAATGAAAATTGTCATGTAGCTTATGACAAACTCAAAAGAGCCCTAACCGGTTCCCCGGACTTGTCCTACCCTAACCATGAAGGATTATTGAATATCCTAAATACTGATGTCTCCAATAGTGTGCTAGGCGCTATACCCTCTCAAGGACAGAGTGATGTAGAAAAATCATCTATGCTGTACCCTACACTAAGCGAGCCATCCCTGGTTCATACCTTAGTTTGAGGAATCCTTCCAGGTCGAGTGATGTAATTCCGGATATGGATCCTGACCATTTTCCGATGACGCTGAATTTGAAATAAGTAGACGTGTGCTGGACTTTGTGGACATCTCAAAGAAATATATTATGTAACTGTGTTAGCTGTATAGAAAATGTGAATATTTGTGAAATCAGAACAATTGTCTTTTGGAGATTTGTGATGCGTCCCGGTCGTGACTTTTCTATTCCAGTGGATCCAGGATGTGAAGATGAACTGTGATAAATGAAGACATTGTTTTATAAAATATTTTGGTAAAAGTTATGTATTGATAATCGACAAACTGTTATTCATATTATTGTTATTCATGCCTATAATTGTAACTTGTTGATTGTATTTATTGATATATAACGATATTTGTAAATGTATTCTTGTGGCCCATGATTATGTTATTGCAAATGTTACTCATTGACTATGTTTTAATTACATGGCGATATTCCCATGAAAACTAGTCACCAAAATGAGTTATGATAAAACGATCCAACATTCGGGACGAATGTTTTCATGGAAGGGGGGCTGAGTTACAGATTTACCCCTTACCCCAAAACAACCCATAAGATTGGATCACCCCAATTTATGCCCTGAATACTAAATGTATATGTCGTCCTTTTATTTGTAGATATCATGGAAATATCACCAATTATCGTATATTATTAATGTATGCTTTATAATTCATTGTATATGTTTATTAGACAAATATTGTTTGGTTGTATAGTACAAACCCGAATTTCCTCCATTGATCAGCCATATCGTAATAACAAATGGCCACCTGGCATTGTTATTCGACTCATGTAACTCAAAATACACTTGGCATCATCTCCAAAGTAATTCCCAACCAATAATTCATCCTTTTCCAGCGTATGTAATAGGGATGTGCGATTTTATCGGTATACCGGTATATCGCGATTTTTTGTTGCGTGATACGTATCGTGATACGGAGACCTAAATACCGGTTTTTCGGTACATATTATAAAGTTCAGAAATTATTCATTTATTTGTTCAATCTTTCAAATTACAATTGCAGAAAGTATAAAAAATGTTGTAAAAAGTGAAAAGAACGGCATCTTACCGTCCAAACATAATTGATTTCATATACATAAAAATTTCAAGAACGTAAAATTTTGTTTTTCTAGCATATTTTTTAGAAAAATAATGACTTTTCATATAAAATCATTGTAAAAACTGCTTGTAAAAATATCATGATATTATCGTGATATTGTGGGAAAAAATCGTGATATATCGCGATACGAAATTTTTGGCGATACCCATCCCTAGTATGTAATACTTTTTAGATCCTTGTTTACTTGGTGCAAAGTTGTTGACAAATGTCGCGCGAATAATGGCGGCACCGCACGTTATTCGCGCGTGGAGTATTTCGCACCTATCAACCAAAAAGTATATAATAAACGATCCGAGAGACAAACGCCAGTAGTGCTTGCGCTGCTCAACCAGGCATGGTGCCTTCAGTGCCCATCAGACTGGTACTCTACCCATAGGTACATTTTGTACCATTACTTTGGGTAGGCCTGATGCCTCTTCATACCCAGTGTTTTGGGTCCCCATGCTTTTCCTGGGTAAACTCACCATTTTATGGGTAAACACCCATTTTGTGAGAAAAACACCCATTTTCCGCAGTTTTTGCCACTTTCTGTTGATTTTGGCCATATATTAGTAAATTCCTGACTTTTTAGGTGTTTTAACTGATTTTCTTGATTTTTAATAAATTTATAGAAAATTGACCATCTTTTCTTATTATTGGGTAAATTTCAGAAATAAGAGACCCACATATAATTTCTGTAACGGGGTAAACCATAGAGTGGTAAAAGAATACAAAGTATTCAAAAACCACAACTATACCCAGAAACGTTACAGATAGTATTCAGCATGTGAAATGAAAAATTTAAGAGGTTATAAAATCATCATTACAGTTGATAAATATTCCATATAAAAAGAATCTTCTATACACATAGTTCTACAAATTCAGTCAGGGGGATCCGACTTTTTCCCTAAGTGGGGGACACGAATTCTCTGAATTAGCTTGTTTTTTTTTTTTTTGATCACAGGCACTTGTTTCTTATTCAGGGCATCTTAGTTTTTGTGGTACAAATAAGAAGGGGTTCCCCGTATACAAAACATGTGCCTGTGGTTTTGATGCATATATACTGAAAGGAAAAAGAAACACAGGATAGCATAATATTCAAAATTTTTTTGACCGCCAGATCGAAAATTTCTGAGATGAGAATGTTAGTTACTATGCACCAAAATCAGTGTTCAGAATTACCCAACCGTAAAATATATGACGTCATGTAGGGAAAACGTTAAAAAGCCCAAAACAGGTGCAAATTGATGACGACGAGTTTGTCAACAAATCTTGTTATACCATTTGATAACCTGAAGTATACATATTGTTTTTCAATATTTAAGGACAATATAAATTTCTTGCAATCTTGGTACAGTTTACGGAAGTTCAATGGGGCTTGGTTTTCGAAATGCCTTAGTGAGGACAAGGGGTTACTGAGCAGTTTTTAGCTCACCTGAGCCAAAGGCTCAAGTGAGCTTTTCTGATCACAATTTGTCTGTTGTCTGTCGTTGTCCTTGTTGTCGTCGTTGTTGTTGTAAACTTTTCACATTTTCCTCTTCTTCTCAAGAACCACTGGGCCAATTTCAACCAAACTTCCCATAAAGTATCCTTAGGTGAAGGGAATTCAGGTTTGTTCAAATGAAGGGCCACACCCTTTTCCAAGGGGAGATAACTATGAATTAGAAAAAAATTAATGGTATTTTTAAAAAATCTTCTTCTCAAGAACCACTGGGCTAGGAAAGATAAAACTCATGTGGAATCATCCTCAGGTAGTGTAGATTCAAATTTGTTCAAATCATGACCCCCGGGGGTAGGGTGGGGCCAAAATGGCCGATCAAAGTTTTACATAGGAATATATAGGAAAAATCTGTGAAAATCTTCTTCTCAAGAACCACAGGGCCAGGAAAGATGAAACTCATGTGGAATCATCCTCAGGTAGTTAAGATTCAAGTTTGTACAAATCATGACCCCCAGGGGTAGGGTGGGGCCAAAATGGCCGATCAAAGTTTTACATAGGAATATATAGGAAAAATCTTTAAAAATCTTCTTCTCAAGAACCACTATGCCAGGAAAGATGAAACTCATGTGGAATCATCCTTAGGTAGTGTAGATTCAAGTTTGTTCAAATCATGACCCCCAGGGGTAGGGTAGGGCCAAAATGGCCGATCAAAGTTTTACATAGGAATATATAGGAAAAATCTTCTTCTCAAGAACCACTGGGCCAGGAAAGATGAAACTCATGTGGAATCATCCCCAGGTAGTGTAGATTCAAGTTTGTTATCATGACCCCAGGGGGTAGGGTGGGGCCAAATGGCCGATAAATCTTTTACATAGGAATATATAGGGAAACCTTTTAATATCAAGTACTTCAAAGCCATGCTTAGTGATATTTATAGGGAATCATCCTCAGGTAGTGTAGATTCTAGTTTGCTCAAATCATGACCCCCTGGGGGGTTAAAATTCAAGCCCCCTCCCCCCTTCAGTAAACTTTCAGTTCTGATCTGATATGTGCTTTTTCCTAGCCAATTGCTCAGGTGAGCGATGTGGCCCCTGGGCCTCTTGTTTGTAAATATTCCCCCATAGAGTGTGTTACCTGTTGTCAGAGAGGGCCTGGAATGGTTCGCGACCAACCGTGATGATGACGTTGGCGAAACACACTCAGGTTAAGATTGGGTTATTCGACCTGCCACCTGTTTAATTGCCACCTTACTACCTCAAAAATCGCTCTTAACGAGGCCCAATTTAGTTGAAAATTACAAAAACGGAATGATAAAAAATTTTAATTCCTGGAAATATACTTGTATGTTTAATGCTTAGAAAAATTAAAATGAAATTTTGTTACCTTGCCTTTATTGTAGTGAAATGGGGGCACTGTCAAGATATGGACCATTTTTCATGTTTATATACACAATTACATACTAAAACTGTTCAATAAACAAAGAAATTTACAAATTAAAAAAAGATACATGATGAAATTCTTTGTTTTTCACATATATCATGCAATTTTCATTCTTCTTATAAAAAATGAAAAGAAAATTGGAGGTAGCCTTTATTGCAGTGAAAAGGGGGCATGTCAGAACACAAAATTTGGATTTATTCTGTCTAACTACGTATTTTATAGGTCGCAATGGGCTTACATAACACCAACAAACAATTGCAATACTGTATAAGTTTCTTAAAAATAAATAATTCTTACATTATGAAATAATTTTCTCGCCATGTTCTATTTTTCTCTTAACACGCGACGTTGTTTTGTGTGACAAAAAGGGTTAGAGGAGGGGAGGGGTAAAGGCGACAAAAATGCGATTTTTACTAATATCATGTAATATATAGAAAAATAAAATATTTCGGGGGTTCAATTTAAATGATTTATAGACTTATTTTATTTTTTAAAACTGAAGATAATCCATGCATATTTAAGTCCGCATTAAAAGAGTGTGTATAAACACTACAACATGTTTAAAGAGAAAGACTAAAATCGTTTACTTTTAGTTGCAGTGTTTGTTTTTTTAAACTCCCAAATTGAAATAAAACAGGATAAAATTAATGAATCTGTACCAAAAAACTGATCCCTCAAAATTAATTAGGTTCCAAAGTTGTTTATTAATTTAAATATTTAAAAAAGAAAAATAGAAATGCCAGCTTTCAATGCATAGTCTATAGAGCTACCAGGTAAGCTAGATCAGCGAAACATTTTAGCGCAATTTGACGTCATTTTAATATGTGACGGCAGACAAGGGTATTGTGACGTGCCTGAGTCGACGCTGCATTAAAACTTATGCGCAGATGAAGTAGATCGGGCCTCGTTAATACTGTTAATACAGTAGACTTTCATAATCATTTTATTCACCCCAAAACTGAAAGAAACCTATCGCGTAATTTTGGCTTTTGAGTAGGTAAACTTTATGTTGTGTTCCTCTAACTTTCGCATGCGCGCAATGTTTGACTAATTTTTTGGCGTGGTTACCCATGCCCAATATACACAGGGTTTGAAAGATAAACATTCTGATGAATTTCATGCAAAGGAGAATTAAGGCTGTTACAGATGCGATAGGGGAGACATTGAGGATAATGAGAGTTTACGATTTTCACTTTTGGGGGGTATCGTCATATGAGTTAATTTCAATAACTCATGAATTATAAGACAAAATCAAATGGGTTTTTGGTTATATTTTCTTTAAAGATGATTTTAAAAGTTAGAGTGGAATACTGAAAAAATAAAAAAATAAAAATAAATTTAATTCACCTCAAAATTTACCCTGCGCTTCTTTTTCCTTTCAGTATATTGAAAGTTTATAAAACTATTCAACAAACTCTAAAATAGAACAAATAAGTCAATTATTTTTGTTGCGTTTATTGTGACGAAGACTCGGAGGCATTCGTGATATTGGATAAATTTGATTTTAATATAATATGAAACAAGCTAATTCAGAGAATTTGTGTCCCCCGCTTAAGGAAAAAGTAAACCATGCGTGGGAAGGGAAGGGGGTCAGATCCCCCTGACTGAATCTGTAGAATTATTAAATGGATACATGTATACTGAAGCAAATAAAATACTATGCCAATATAGATATAAAGATTTGATTGCTTATTCTTTATTATGTGTATGGAAGATTCTTTTTACATGAAATATTTATCACACTGTAATAATGATAAATTTGATTTTAATATAATATGAAACAAGCTAATTCAGAGAATTTGTGTTCCCCGCTTAGGGAAAAAGTAAACCATGCGTGGGAAGGGAAGGGGGTCAGATCCCCCTGACTGAATCTGTAG